CTCTCATCGTGTGATTATTACAGTACTATATAAGTGTATGTATGTATGTATGTGTCTATCTGTCCGACATAAGGAAGAGACTATATAAATGGCACCGTTATCTCAAAACACTCTAAGTTTTGACGTGCCTTCTGCTCTCAAAATATACAAAGTGTGCAATGGTTTTAGGGTTTAGTTCATTGCGGTTATAAAAGTCTCTCTCTCTCTCTTTCTCTCTTTCTCTCTTTGTTAGTGTGCACACCAAATATTTGAGTGTTAAACTAATATAAAATACGAGTCATCCTTAAACATATTGGTGCAGTTGTAGCATCTGTACTATAGTATATATATATATATATATATATATATATATTCATATAAACATAGAGCAGGTGAGGCACGAGAGATACGAGTGCTGATCAGTGATCGCTATTATATTATATTATCATATCTTTAACAGCTTTTAGAGAGAGAGAGAGAGAGAGAGAGAGAGAGAGAGAGAGAGAGAGAATAACTGACATGTCTCTCGCATATCGTTTTTGATTATTTATATATATATACCGTACTGTATGTACTTTATATTGCATCTAATTTTGAGTGAGATAGATGTGTGTGTGTGTGTGTGTGTGTGTGTGTGTGTGTGTGTGTGTGTGTGTGTGTGTGTGTGTGTGTGTGTGTGTGTGTGTGAGAGAGAGAGAGAGAGAGAGAGAGAGAGAGAGAGAGAGAGAGAGCACAGACTAGTCAGTAAACTTAAGCGACAGCTGCTCAATGAGTACCACCTTTGTGTATGTGTTACATACCTTTTCCCCGGAGGGCACAGATACACAACAGACACACAACTGTTTGCTTTACATCAATAGTACTCCCATTTGACCAAAAAAATACCAAAAGTTATGTTTATGTATTTTTAGGTCTAATATTGCTCATCATATGATATGACATACCCTACAATTGGGAATTATACTACACTATTATCAGTATTGTTCGTTAAACTAAATTAATTTTCCACTCAATTGATTTGCTCATATATAAAAAATAAATAAAATAAAATTCATTGTGATATTGCGATAATATAATAGACTATAATTGGTTATTTTGAAAATTATTTTGTTATTTTTGATATTAATGTTTAATAAATTATAAAATTATAAATACAACTAAAATTGAAAGTACTATTTCAAAAAACTATTTTCTAATGTGTTATTAATTACCGGTACTATATTTAATAAAATAAAGTACAAACAAAAATTTACATATAGCTGTTCATTGATAGTGTTGATGTTGTTGTCGTCCTCCACATAACTACCAGTGCTTTCTTATTGGTTATGCTATACACTGTATACAGTAGTCAACTATAAGTAACTAATAACTAAATTGAAAGGTACGTGCAGGCAGTGTGCGACTCGTGTGCCGGAACGTGCGCTCCCTATCCACCAAAAGCTATGCTATAGATATGCAATGTGTGCTGATTTGACCCGAAGGAATGTCCTCATCAAGTCATCCACAAAACTAATAACTTTTTTTATATGAATGAGAAAGTCTAACAGCAGACGTCTGGCACAGGGATATGGTGTGCTTCGGGAAGACTACCAGTCAGTCCCTCTGTTCGTACAAGAAGTCGCCTCTAACAGAGAGTCATATATTTATGGGGCATTCATATCTCTATTGAGCAGATGTTTGCCCAAAAAAGAGATGCAGTTTTGAGTTATTTAAAAATATTTCTTTTCTCTCTCTTTCTCTCAGTTCAGTCCCTCTCAGAGTAGTATTTCATTTAAAGAGGGAGTCCAGAGTCGAGTCCAGTCATATATATATATATATATACATAAAAGAATCTTTGAAAATATCGCTTATGTGTTTTGTATGTCTTTCTCTCTCCTCAATCTCCCTGTGCTCCTTATATTGAATGGTTAGCTCTTTTCTCTCTCTTTGGCGAAGTTGTATTGCATGTGTTGTAACCTATATTTGGTGGCCAAAAATAGTAGTAGTATTTCAAGCAATTATATTATATGTTTGTGTATGTATTGTGAGCTCTGGGTTGCTGTTGTTAAGGCCATAGAGTTTTTGCTCCTTTTGACACAAAACCTCACTCTTAAAAATATTATACCACTAAGAAAAAGCTACCATTCCTTATGTGACTCATACACCAGTCCTCACAGTCACTACTCACTCACCGATCATAGACTCTAATGGTCTTTGGTTTATACAAAAATAGCAACAAAAAACAACTGACTTTATGTTTTAATATGACTTTAAAATAACATATATATATATATATATACATTATTGTTACATAACTGTGCCATTGGTTTATAAATATTATATTTTTATATTTTATTATATCTGTGTTTGTGTGCTCCGGTTTAGTATATAATGTATTATAATATTGATAGGTATGTATTATCGATGTGTTTACATTACAATACAATCAATAATTTTATTTTTTGATATATAACTTACTATCTTAAAAACAACTAAAAAATTATTGATATAATGTATTTATATATTTTTTCTTGTGATAACTTTTTTCAAACAATACTTTTTTATTTTATTCATTCAAATGTGATCCAAATATATTGTTTTTGTTGACAACAACTTTATAAAAGAAAAGACAAACTTATTGAATTCAAAAAGTTTAAATCACTGTTTGAAACAACTTTTTTATTATATTTATTTATTGTATATCATGTATAATAACAAAAATAGTCAACTTTTTTATCTTATAAAAAGTTTTTGTTTATAAATTTGCCATTTCATGTGTGATATATAATTATACACATATACTATAAATATATTTATACAGTAATACAAGTATTAGCAGTATATTTTTTACTGTACTAACTTACTAGTATATTTCATATTTTTTAAAAAAATACAATGTTATTAATATATCATATTTGATAACAATTTATTTGTAGGAGTCTATTAATAAATTGTTAGTCATATTCATATACTTATATATATATATATATATATATCCCTCGATGATAATCAAGTTTTAAAACTATCTAAATATAAAGGAGTTTCCCTCACAAACTATTATTATTATAATATAATAATAATAATTAGAAGTAGTAGTAGTATTATAATCGCTTGACTTGTATTCAGTAAACCATAGCATACAATATACAGTATGTGATAAATACACTTCAATGCTATTTTCTATTATGAACAATTACAATATGACTAACATTTGTAAATATATCATATACAGTAAATATATAAATTAAAACTTCACAAATATTATTATAAACGATAAGATATAAATAGATATACAATGTAAATACAAATGATTGAAATATATTAAATTTTTATGTTTAATCATTGTGTTTATTAAATTATAATAAAAACTTATGATACGATTACATGTTTAGTTAGTTAGTGTCGTTGTTTGTACGGTATGCTGTATAATGTATATGATATGTCACTACACTATCACTGTATGATTGAATATAAAGTTCAACAAACTTGAAAATACATAATAATAATGTTTTTCATACCATTACAGTCGGTATATGTATGTATAAAAATGTATTTTATATGCATTTATGGTGTATATTGAATATAAACTGTATTTTTTCTTTCTCTCTATAACTTATTTATGTTCAAATAATATTTATTTCTATTATTTAATGCGTTTTTATGTAACAAATTGACTAAAAACACCACAAAAACATTTTAATGCCTATTAATAATAATAATCATTACTAATAATAATTGATGAAAATTGAATAATTGTTTTGTGTGATCACTAAAAATATCATTGATCTCATAATATGATAATAATGATGAACCGCATAAACTGTTATTAACTCCTAATATATAATATAATATCAACAGTTGAAATGCTATGAAAAAAAGTTTTTGAACTATTGATGAGTTAAGTTGTTGTGTTGTTAGTGTGTTATGCAATAGTGATATCTCGAAAAAAAACGTAGAAATAATAATTTTGTGATTTTATTTTATTTTGTTTTTGTATGACTTTTCTGGTGAATGACTTGCTTTTAACACACATTTTTCACACTTACTTGTTGTCTATACTAGTAATGACTATGACTTGTTGTCAGTGATAAAAGGTTTTTAGTCAGTTAGTTGTCCTTTACTTTACTTTTTTCACTATAGTTTTCATATCAAACTTTTATAACAACAAATATTTTTATAAGAAATAATTTTTTTTAAAAGTTTTTTTTGTTGAACTTATATTTTATTCGCTGCTTAACATTGACATTGTATTACACGATCATAGATTGACACCCGGGTATGTGTTGTTGTTGTTATTAATTGACTATTATTGTTGAAATCAAACTTATACTGTACTTTAGATTAATTTTCACACAAATTTTTCCAACTTATATATCGATTAATATAATTATATCAATAAAATTTGACTCTTAATATGTTTGACTTTATACGATACGACTGTCTCTTATTACTGTTTTTGGTCATTACTTATACTATTGTATGTATATCTCTCAGACTATAATATCCTTGTCTTTATTAAACACAACAGTTTTGATTTGAATTTGTATTACTTGTATTAATCATATATCACTTGATTTTATTTTCATACATTTTTTAAATGATGTGCTTATTTATAGTATAATTTTAATAAAAAAAATAACTAATTAATAATTCAAATGACTTTTTAATAGTAATTTTTTTTATCAATATATAAATTGACGGAATATGTAAATAGATTTTAATAATACAGTATTTTTTAATATACAATATATCACATGTGGTGTATATGACAACAGACATCAAATACAATGTAATTAACAAAATATAATTGCATTAATTATATGATGTTTTTTGTTGTTTGTGATTAAAATTTCATATTAATTTCATAAGCAATTATTTAAGTGTATGTTGTGATGAAATGTCATTGAATTTGAATTTAACGTACAATGTGTCACATGTTTTACAAAATAAAGCAGTTTTTAATTTCTTTGTCTAATACTATATAAAAAAGTTTTTTTACCTAATATTTATCTAATAAAACTTTTTTTTTGTTGAATTTATAGCATAAATAGCTTTTACTCGGGTTATGGTCTCTATCGATGTGATCTCTCATCGCCACTACAACTACAAGCACAGCATCGACACCAAACTAACAGTCCATCGACTTCCTCGACATCAACAAGTAATACGACTACCAGTGCTAACCTCAGTGCAAGTGCTAAGTGTGGTCCGTTAAAGACTTCATTGAAAGTTAAGCCGCGTTTTTATATCTACCGACCCGTCGGTGTAGTGTATCAACACAACCACACAAGTAGTACATCCTATCATCGTTGGCCAACTCAACTGTTTGCGCCAATTATGGGGCAAAAAGTCAGTTCAATTAAGTCTCCCATCAGTCGGGATAACTCCTCATCTATTGCTTCCCGAACTAAGGATCTACTGGACAGCTCACGACCCGCACGATTGGACCTCTTGCTGGATATGCCGCCCGCCAACTATGAGACGCAGTCTAAACACGGCTGGAGTTCAGAGGACCGGTCATTGAATATCTTTGTCAAAGAGGACGATCCGACCACTTTTCATAGACATCCTGTGGCCCAAAGCACGGACTGTATTCGCGGAAAAGTTGGCTACACTAGAGGTATGCATGTTTGGCAAATGTCGTGGTCTACCCGTCAACGGGGCACACATGCCGTTGTCGGTGTGGCCACAAGTGAGGCTAATTTACACACAAACGGCTATCAATCGCTGGTCGGCGCTAATGACCAGTCGTGGGGTTGGGATTTAGGACGTAATAAATTATATCACGACCTGAAAAACAACTCCGGCCTCACATATCCGTCTATACTGTCCAATGACGAAACATTTGTTGTACCCGACTCTTTCTATGTGGTACTGGACATGGATGAGGGCACACTTGCCTTTGTCGTTGATGGCCAGTATCTCGGTGTCGCCTTTCGAGGACTGCGCGGCAAAAAGCTATACCCAATTGTGAGCTCAGTTTGGGGTCACTGCGAAATTAGTATGAAATACATCGGGGGTTTAGACCGTAAGTGTTATGACTATTATTGTTAACGAATGTATAAAATAATTTATTTTTTACAAAAATAGCGGAACCGTTGCCATTGAAAGAGTTGTGCCGTCAAGTGATCCGCCGAGAAGTCGGCAAATCGCGGTTTAACTCATTAAAAGCCGAACAACTGTCACTTCCCAAACCATTGATGAGTTACTTGTTATATCAGGACATTTGCAGATAACCCATCAACCGTTGAAAAATTATATACCGGAGCTGCCCCTCGTCTAACTGGTCAACAATAACAACAACAAAAACAACTATTGAATAACAACCGCACGACTATTATTACTACTACTACTCTATCTAAATAATTATGAAACAAATCTGTGTGTGATTTTTGATAACCTTTTTAGTATATACCATATAATCAACGGTTTATGATTGCATACAAACAAAAAAAACTAACTTTTCTTATGTGATATCAATTAACACAACCCAAACACAACTGGTTTTCTGGTTTTTTCTCAATTTTTTATTATTTTAATTATTAATAATTTCAAACTGATTTTAAATGTGAAACTCATTCATCAAATCAATAATATATTATATATATCATCAACTCTGGAATGACTTCAAACAATTTGTTTGTATTGAGTTTTAATAATAAGCAAAAAAAACTCTGGATATCTATTTGGATATCGATTATTATTATTATTATTAGTAAATATATTTTTTACACTTATTTATTGATGAAAACTACGACAAGTTTTTTATTACTGATATAATAATAATAATAACCTGTTGTGTTGTGTGAACAACAATATAACAGACGAAACAAATCTATAATAATTATGAATATTTTTTAATTATAAAAAATTTATTAATATTTTTTAAATAATATTATTTCTTAAGGTAGGAGTTAAAATAATTATTAATCATCTTATTTTTGTGCTTAAAATTGATTTCTTATTTAAAAAATATAATAATTTATAATTTATTTTACAATTATATTATTTGTAATGATGCTTATTTATTATAATATTGTATATGGTAATCTCTATTTAAAAAAAACAAAACAAAAATAAGCCATCTTTTTATAAACAAATAACTATATTATAAGAAATGTTAAATTATTAAAGTCTCTTAAAATATATATAAATTATATATAAATCTTTATACATATTGTAATTTGTTGTAATTCTTTCATTGTTTTTGTAATATTTTATCATAAATTCATAATAAAAATTGAATATTAAAACGAAACATTTGTTATTTTTTTATTAATTATTTAATCATTTAAATTACCACATATTAAAGTAATAAACTTTATATTGATTATAATTATAATATTTTTGCATTTCAATTTAGAGACTAACTATTGCATTATACGATAGGCTAAATATATTTTTATGGTAAATATTTTGCTAAATTTTTGTTATTTAGAAATAATTGATAAAATTTATTAATAAATATTTAATTTATCAGTAAAATTAATAACTTATGATAATAGTCTTGAGTGTTGTGTTGAAATTTAAAATACTTTTTTCATACAATAGAAAAATATTGATTTTTTTTGTATCATTTTTATAATTGTTAGTTTTATATCAATTGTTTTTTTTTAAATAAATTAAATACAGTTGAATATGATCTTAGTATAATATAACTGTATTTATTTTGTTAAATATTGTAAACAGTAAATGTCGACAATATTTATTTATTATAATTTACTAAAACTAATATGTAAATTGATAAATAATTATTGATACTAACACATTAATATATGAATATCAATATTTGCAAACATTTTGTGGTTTATTTTATTTAAATCAATAATAACTTGATATTTGTGGTAATTGACGATAATTTCAAGAAAATTTATTTGATATTTTGGTATACATTACTTATAAGTTTTTTTTCTCAAGTTTTTACTTTAAAAAAATTATTCATAAGTCAAGTTTTGTTTGTATCAAAAAATGTTATCTTTGTTTGCATTTTATAAGACTAAAAATATTCAGTATATAATTTTTTTTTATACCAACATAGATAATAATATGTGAAATAAAAATTATACCCAAAAAAACTTGTTTCTGTGGTTTTTCTAAAAATATGTTTCTCACAAAAACAATAGTATAAAATATAAAATATAAAATAAGTAAATTATTGTTATTATAATTATTATTACTGTATATTATTAGCAATTCATTGTCATACAGTATGTATAGATATAATATAATAATAATATCACAATTTGTTTGGTTTTTATGATAGTTTATATTGTTTTATCTCAAACCATACAAACGTGTGTTAATAACACTGAGAAATGCATTGACAGATGTGTTTACAAAAGACATATCATATTTAATATGACTAACAATTTTCATGTGAAATATCTGACACAACGAGTATTTGTTTTAATCAGTTTAATGTACTTCTCGCTGATCATCAGCACAAGTATGCATTGGACTCATTGGACTCATTGGACTCATTGGACTCATTGGACACCCCTATCTGTCCCATTAAAGTCTATATTATATACCTGTAGGGCATAGTTAATAAGGGATCGATAGGTATATTATAAATAGTATACAGCCATATGTACACTAAATTTGTTGGATACTATTAATGACAGTCAACTGTCTGTTAGTGCACATGAGTTACATATTTTGGGGGACAGTTAGTTATTAGTGTAAATAATCTTTCTATGAATAGTATTTGTTGGGTATGTCGTGTGTGTATGTGTTAGTCGTGTGATGATCTTTGTCTCGACCATCTGCTCTATTTTTATGCCTTCCGGCGCTCCACTCAGTCTGTCAGTCCTTATAATACCTTGTTTTTATAAAGCATTTTCTGCAAGTATTTCTCTCAAAGTAAAGTATAAAATCGTTTTCATTAAGTTATACTTAGCATTACTTTTATAATTATTAATATTTATTAATCATTTAGATTTTGATATTTATATTGACATAAAATATTAATACAAAAATTGCAAATAATATAATAAATACAATATATGTGTAACGCATGTGCTTTACCTCATACTTTGTAAGTATGGTTTTTATTAAGTATTTGAAGTCTACTTTCTCTCAAAGTTTTGTGTTTTTGTTAACTTTAAAAGTCAAGTATAAGTAGTGTTTTTATTAAGAAATTTTGAAAATACTTTGAGAGATTGCTTTATGAAAACAGGGTATAATACCTTTCCTATTATTATTATTTAAGCAAAAGAAAGCCCTTATTTTGAACACAAGTATTATTATTAAACAGCACAACCTCTATATAGTATTCATCACTTAAATTTTTTATACTGTATTTATATACCATCTCTAATAATACTGAGTTAAATACATATACATATATTGATATATATAAATATATTCATCAATTTGGTGATTTACCGGCACCCGTGCCATGTATTAGATATTTTTATTATACTATCTAATATTTTTTAGTAAAAGCTCCGACTAATAGTGTGCTGTTGTGTCGGAGATAAGTACCGACACACACACACACACAGACTGCTATTAAATTGAACTTTATTTTACTGAAAATTATAATAATAAATATAAGTTTAAAATAATTTATTATTGATTCACTAACAAAAAAGAAAATGAGAGATAATCCCCTTATTATCATAACAATTAATTTAGTGAAATACGTATACAGATTGCTATATATATATATAAATTATATATTATATGTAAATTGTATGACACAATTAGCTTTTTTGAAAATATATTTTAAGCCTATTATTTCATAATAATAAAGAAATTAAATATATTTTTATTGTGTTATTATATAATTTGGTTTCTTATTTTTTAAAAAAAAACTAATTAATTTAAATTTTAAATGTTTTTATGAATAGAAATATTGTATCTTAAACAAGTAAAGATAATATTTTGAATTATTTTTTTATAAATAAATACAAAAAAGATTATATCTATTTAAATGTGTTGCTAAGTCATAGAGTTTTCAATAAAACAATAGACTCAGAAAAAATGAGAAATATTTTTCAATATTATCTCATCATAAACTCTATTTTTGATAATATTTTGATTGATTGAAATACACAATAATAATAATACTAAAGATATTAATAAATATTTAACATTAAAACATTATATTAACTTTTTTTCTGTAAATAAATGGGTCAATATTTAAAGATTTTCAGTTAAAAATTTCTCTATTAATATCAACAAAGAGTTTTAAAAAATTGAAAATTATTTTGGCAACACAATTATATTATATACGTTTTTATTTTATATTTTTTAATGTGGTTATTTTAAAATATGTTATATATTTAATATATACTTTATATTTATATTTTGTTTTTTTTGTTTGTTTCTCTTTTTTTATTGTTATTATTACTATCATTAATTTTTGTTGTGCAAGTGATTTATTTTTAACTAATTTATATTTTATTTTTTTCGCACACAATTTTTAAATGGATATATTAATGTATTATTCTATAACATAAAAACACTTAAGTATTGCGAGATCTCATTTATAAATATAATGCCATTAATACTATTTCACAAAAAAGTTATTGTTAGCCACAATTTTAATCTTTTTTTACTAGAAAATACCATATTACCTTACTATATATGCACTTAATTTTGTCTGATTAACTAGAACCAGTTAGAGCTAACTGTCCCCATAATTAAAAGATACATGTTTTCACATATAATAATAACTAGTTATGCAATTTAATCATCTCTTATAAAGGTGTCATTTCATAAAACCGAAATAAACACACATAACAACAATAAAAACTTACCTCAAACTATATAATTGTGGACTTAAACAATTATATATTAGAAACCAGGCTAATTTTTAACGTTATATATAAATACTATTAGTGGTTTGAGCATTGGTTTGAGCAGTAAAATGTGTATAAATTTTTACAAATATATATTGTATTTATATAATACTAGTTCTATATGTTATAATTTATTTGAAAAAAACTATAAAACTATTTTTTATGATTCAGGTAAATGTTATTATGTATTAGTAAACTTCAATCTTTATTGTTTTGTTTTCTTATTGTTATTTTTTCGATGTTATTATTATTATTGTTGTTGTTTTTCTGTAGTTTTAAATCTCTAATATATTTATTTTGACATCAATTCTCTATATTTAACATTAGTTTCTATGTTTATGTTCAGACCGGACAAACAGGTTGTGTCCATAACAATAGTTCATAACGTTTTCAAAACATCTGCTCTCTCTCTTTCTCTCTCTCTCTCTAAGGATTATATCATATTTATGAAAAACTGTAAAAAAGGTGTGGCATGTCTTTACTGTTTGTACATTGATTTTTAGTATAAATCCTCAAAATGGTTTTACGATTCAAAGGTTATATACATATTTTTATGGCATATCTTTGAAAAATACCGGTTCAATGATGTAATGACTATCAACAACTGTGCTATATTTAATGTCTCAAAAAAATTTTTTTTTTGACTTATCATAAATATGTGAAATATATTTTATTTCCTAATATTTTCAATGTAATATAAATTACATATTTTTTCGCATTAACTATTTTTTATATAAAAAATTAATAATTGCTTTGATAAATTATAAATTATTATAATGTAAACAAGTTATTGACTATATTAAGCTTATATTCGATAATACAAATGTATTACACAACAATTTGATAGCAAAAATTTTGTTATTATTTTGGTTTAATTAAAAAAGATAAAATTGCATTAAGTTTACATCA